AAAGAGCTATTAGTAATTCTAACCAAGTGTTTTATAAAAGAAATGAAAAATTAGATTTGCTCAAGCTTTTGCTGAGAACTCAGCTTTTGAGTGAAATAAAAGGTAATATTAAGTCATAAAAAGCTATCTGTTCTGTGTTTTATAGCTGTTAGCAGCAATTTTTCACATGAGAAAAAAGCTACTCCTGTTCCTGAAGAAATATTTTCCTGCATTTGCTTCTGGATTTAGGAATATTTTCTTAATATGTTTCTAAATATGAGAGTAAAATGATCTCTTTTGACTTCAGTCATAGATTCTTGAAGTGTGATGATTTTTTTTTAACGATGGAGGTGGGAGGGAGGAGAGGAGGGATTGACAATGTGTTACAGTGACTGTAGAGAAGAGGTTGTATGAGTAAAAGCTTTAAAAATTACTAAAGCAGGCATAATTTCAAAGCATTTTGTCTCACAAATCTCCAGTCTCAACTTTACAGCATTAGCTCATGTAAGCAGTGGAAAGCACATACTTTCAGCAGGTTTTAGTATACAAAATTTTTAAAGAAATTTTGCAAGGGATCAAAAGAATATTTGATATTTTAGTGTTATTGAATAGTAATATTTGATGAGATAAACATTGCAGTTTTATTCTCATTAGTGCTATTACTTAATCATTTTCTTCAAGCACCTCGGCTGCTCTCCCTTGCAGTATTTCAAGTTCTCGAACTCATAGAAAATGGAATCGTTCTGAATTAATTTTGCTGTTTGCAGCTGTAATCTGTGCTAACTCTCTGCAAGATTTGAAAGGCGAACTGAAGTGGTTTGTGGAAAGGCTGTGACTGTATTTAACTGCCACGTATTTTATTCAATCTGCAGGGTAATGACGTTCGGATAATCCTTGGCCAGTTTGATGAGGAAATGGCTGTGAAAGTTTTCTGCTGTGTAAGTAAATATACGTAATTACATTTCAGAATAAAGAATGTGTTATATTTGAATAAAAAAATAATTTGAGCATAAACATTTCTTCATGGGGTTCAGCTCTGTCTAGGTTTATATGCTAAAGAGAGGTTGCACGTGTTTACTTCCATTTCTCTTTCAATAAAATACTTTGACTTCAGTGGGATTTAGGCATGGACTGCATGGTTAGCTGCTTGTTACTGCCATCCTGTAGTGGAATTAAGTGCCAAATCAAGCTTGAGCATTTCTCTTCATGTCCACTTGTATATGTAGCAGCAGAGACAGAGAGCTGCAAGATCTGAAACTTGTCCAAGAGTTGTGTTCTGGTGGTAATGTCTGCATGTTTTGCTTGTTTTGCTTTGAAAGGATAAGAAATTCAAGCAGTTCCTACACACGCTAACTAAGCAACCCTAATAATTTCTGCTACTCAAAATTTTGCCAGTTGTACTGTTGTCATTCACTTCTGACTGCTGTACATTTTACTTGTTTTACGTGGAAGCAAATAGTAGTTTGTAAGAAATAAGATTTTTTTAATGAAAAGAAATATAGTAAGACCAGCACACATAAAACTCTTTATCCTCAACATTTGTTTGTATGTGTGAATGTGCTGCAAACACGCACAGTGTGATCGCCATTGACAGCAGCAGGATTTAAATGTGGATCTTCATTTATACCTGGTCAAAAAAAAAAATAAAGCCAAACAGGCAGATTTTAGTGGCCTACGTTTTGTATTGGTGCTGTATTCTTAGTCTAAATAACCAGATTAATCCTGTATGAGCCAAGAACAGAATAAATATAATGGAAAAGCAATAATGATGGCATCTGAATTTCAGACGGTGTTTTTTAGTGTTCGCTTAGACAGACAGTTACCTATCCAAGGAAAGAAAGGGAAGGCAGAAGTTCAAAATCTGAGTGCTACTGTGCCTCAGACACATGTTGGCTCATACTCAGCAGCTGTCCAGGTTGCTGGCAAAATTTGGAAAGGAGATTGTAGAGTATATTTGGAAGGAACAAAAATTTGTTTGCATCCAAGAGGAAATGGAAAATATTATTTTCTTTTTAATTCTTCTCATCTCTGATAGGTCTTTGTATACAGATCTTTTTGTTCTGGCATTTAAATTGGATCGACAGAGATAATCTCCCATTTTTTCCATTCCTGGAAGAAAGAGCCCAGCTCCTCCTCATATCTCTTGCAATTGAGCTGCGTTTCCTCAGCTGAGGGGTCCCAATCAGAACTGTCTTCCAACCCAATGTTACACAAGAGACTGGCCTCGCATATGCCACTGCCCTTAGTATCTAGTTGCCTTCCTCTACAATTTTTTTCCAAATCCGTATGCATTTCACTAAAGAAATTCTAGAAATCCTCAGAGGGGCAGTGTGTCCTCTTGTCTGCATCACTCTAGTCTGAAGAACTTCAGATGGGGAACGTCTCTTTCCCGCTGTCACCTGCTGCAGCTTTCTGCGGCAACGGTTGGGTACTAACATTGGAAGGGTGCGTTAACTCATGAGTGTTTTAAAGAGTGATGGCTGCTTTTAAGGTACATTAGTGTCAAAAATAATAAAATGGATTTTTCTGGAGCCTGGAGAAATCGGAAACAGCACCTATTTAGGCTTGTATAAATGTATTTATATGAGAGTTTCAGCACGAGACTGAATGCAGGAGAGGGCAGTTCAAAGTGGGTCATTAATATATTAATGCACTACAATACGTCAGTAAGCTTGTTATCAGTCATAAAATAGATTATTGACTCGTGCACTCCTACAACTATGTGTCTGAGAGCACAATAATTTGATATGTCAAGTCTTTTAACCCTCTTCCCCAGGTGTATCTTCAGACAGGTTTCAGTTGTGATTCCCTGTTATATTGCGCAGAGTGGCTGATGTCAGCCAGAGAAAGGCTTTGGGTTTGTTAAAGGAAGGTGCTGTAGTACTAATGCAAGTTTTTTTATATTTTTTTTTTTCTGGTTGTGGTTATAATGAGAATATTATTTGCTAATGATTTATGTAGGTGGGAAAATCCTTAAAGTCTGCCTCAGTTATCTGTCTGGATTCAACAATCGGATGCTGTGAGGTTTCCTCAGGATATCCATTGGATTTTATATAGAGTCACAGAATCATTTAGGTTGGAGAAGACCTTTAAGGTCATCAAGTCCAACCGTTAAGCCAGCACTGCCAAGCCCACCACTAAACCGTGTCCTTAAGCACCACACCTACACATCTTTTAAAAACCTCCAGGGATGGTGACTCCACCACTTCCCTGGGCAGCCTGTTCCAGGGCCTGACAACCCTTTCTTTCAGTGAAGAAATTTTCCCTAATGTCCAATCTAAACCTCCCCTGGCACAACTTGAGACCATTTCCTCTTGTCCTATCGCTTGTTACTTGGGAGAAGAGACCGACCCCCACCTCACTACAGCCTCCTTTCAGGCAGTTGTAGAGAGTGATAAGGTCTCCCCTCAGCCTCCTCTTCTCCAGACTAAACACCCCCAGTTCCCTCAGCCGCTCCTCACAGACCTGTTCTCCAGGCCCTCCACCAGCTCCACTGCCCTTCTCTGGACATGATCTGCTCATTTTCATTTTGCCTGGCTATTTCCTCCCTCCCTCCCAAGCACACAGACACAAAAAAGATGCAGAGCACATAACTCAAAGATAAATGGACTACAGATAGTCTACTTCAGTGGCAACCTTTAAAAACATGACAGGACTATTTCAAGCCAAAGTGAATGTTAGCAGGTGTTTCCTATGATGATTTAAATAAGCTTAGCAATTCATTTAACACAAGTGTCAAAAACAGTTAGCAATTTTAATTCTATGGGAAAACTTAGCTTTCTAATGGTGTTTTCACCTCAGTGGGATGAATATGATATTTTTCATGGAACAGAAATTAGGGTATTTTGCTCCAAACCCAACACTTCATCAATCAAAATGGTCAACTGTGTTGGATAGACGTAATCTTTTTTTTTTTTCATTTGAGATTGGATTTACATGGCATTGCATCTTCCCAATGAAAACTTCAGTTCTGCAGAAAATTTTATTTTTAAAAAGTTGTTAGTGGGAATTTTTCCAACTTATTTTCTTTAGGCCCTAGAGATAATGCAGTGTAGCCATGCATACATGAGGACTGATGCCTAGCTGATAACAATTATCAATCTGAAGACACTTAAAGAAGATGACTGTTATGCAGGTCACTGCATGAGCTTTTAGGTGGCTCTTTTAGTAAACAATGATAACTAAAGCCATGCTTAACCACTGCAGTTGATACAAAAGGACTGGACTGTTCTCCTTGATCTGATAGAGTTTTACTGCTGAGTCGTTTTGGAATTAAAGGCACTATTGATTTTTAATGAGAAACAGATGGAGGTTCATTGCAATTCGATAGTCTACAGGCATTCTTATAGGAGTGGGATATAGGGTGTATCCATGCTGACATGATGGAAACATTGATGGAAATTCAGTGGGGGTAGTAAGGTTTTGCAGGTCTGTTTACGTAAACTGCTGGTAATTGTTTACTACACATAGAAAGATCGCTTACAGAAATGCCTTTGTTGTATTAAGCATCTCTTTATGGATTCAAACAAGTTTAAAAAAAATTAAAAACATTCAGTCTCACAAGGGCAAAACCATCCAGGACAGTTTCCTGGCTGCTCAACAGCAACTCAGGGCTTTCCAGCCTAGACAGGACACGCGGGAAAGATTAGGGAAAACATATGACTACTTTATGCCGTCCTGATGGTACAAAGCACTTGTAAACCTTCTTCACCGTGCACTTGTGTGCCAACAAATCTTCACCTTGGAAACTAAAACCTGTAAGAAGCGGTCTGCGTGCATTCAAACAGTTCAAGGAAGATATGCGTATTTCAAGGAAATGTCCCTTTTAAGCATCAAAATCATCTCCATTTAGCAGAATCAACAGGGAGAAGACGGTGGCAAAAAGCATAATTCTGAAATAAGTCTTCTGGAATGCAAACACTGAGATGCCTGAACACTAGTAACTGTGCTGTCAGTAGAAAAATGACTGCATGGTCACGGTGCTCAGCTTTAGAGGAGCTGATTTTGTTCCTTCTTTTGCTTTCCCCAGACTACCCTTCAAGCCCTATTGTTCCAGATCTCGAATGAAGACCTGCCAGTTTTTAAAGTGTTTGTTGTGGGGTTTTTTTTTTAAACCAAATTCTTGCAGGAATGTGAAAGTTTCCGTGTAACCTTGTTGCGAATGATTCTTTGTTTCTAGGATGGAATTTTTGGCTGTTTTGAAACTCTCAATTTTCAGCCCATATCCCAGGACATTTACAGATTATGCAGGAAACAAGCTCAAGTGCTTATGCAAACAGAAAATCTCCAATTTCAGCATAATTCACTGCCAATACTTTCTTGCAGCACATGATTTGATACTTTAATTTGTACAGAGCAGGGGAAGCTACAGAAGATTGTCCTTTTCTAAAAGCACTATTCTGTGTCACTTTGTGTCCTCAGTGATTTGAAAACTGTCAAATGAAAGACTCTATCACTGAAAGGTCTTGAATGACCTAACTGTGTAATGGAAACTCTTTTAGACAGCAGGAGGTATTGCAGGATGGGATTGCTGTTGTCCTCATGGGTGGACCTGGGATGCAGCGTTGCCTTAGCTGTAGCAGGAGTGGAGGTGGGTGGGAGGGCAAAAGCAGACGTGTTTCTGGAAGTGTAGAATTACTGAGCAAGAGAGAGACAATTTATGTGGATTGTGGAATAAGATATGAGATGCAAGAGACTGGTTTTCAGACAGAACCATTTTCAAGCAGCATTGTATACAAATGCATGAAATTTGATTTTGGCTGAAGAAAAGCTCCTGCAACGAGGGGCTGAACAAATCTGCTTTGTGCACAATACATATATGAGCTGAGTTGGCACCATTATAATAGACTTCACAGATTTAAAGCCCAATTTTAATTTGGGTATTAGCGTATTTAGGAGATTGTCCTGTTTTGTATTTTTTTGCTATTCATCTTTATCTATCTGATAGGCTTTTGGTAAGATCTTTGGGATACTTTTCAAAATGGTTATGTTCTGGATCACTAATAAGTCCTGTTTGCATTCTCATAATTTCCTCCTTCTGTAACATTTTCTGTGAAGATGTAGCAGCTTTCCAGTTAAGAGCTCTAAGGTTGCACCATGTGTTCCTAAAAATTGGAATTTGTATCTTCTGAGTATGTCTTCTATCTCTGGTATTGCTTATGTTAGGAGCCAAAGAAGCATGAAACCTCTTTTGAAACAGAGTCTGATTGAAATGTCAAAAGCAAAATATCTAGTTACAATACAGTGAGAGAAACATCTGAGATAAAATTTGCTAGTTTTATCCTAGAACACTCTTCACAATGGAATAAGTCCTTTATTGTGAATAGATCAGCTTTTAGGCACAACGGCATGTGTGCCTGACTAATAAAAGTATTTCTGTTTCCTGTTATATGTTTCTGCTGCCTATTAAAAGGAGATACCCATCATCTCAGTATCTTGGAGTACAGCAAGCTGTATTTGGTATGAGAACAATACAGAATCTCACCTGAAGAAATTTCTTGCTGGGGAAAAGAAAAAAAAAAAAAAGAAATCACTGAGATTTCCTTGTTTTATCAGTTTACTGTTGATTCATGCTCCTCAGAAGAAATTGCTTGCTTAACATCCCTGTGGTCTCTGTTGTATCACAATCAAGTAATTGTGATGATGTGATTTGATGGTGCCTAGGATCCAAGTTTTCTTGTTTAACCTTATCCTGTTTTATGTTATGTGGTCTTTAGGATGATGTTAGGATGATAATAACTTACTTAAATGTGGTAACATGGTGGTCTTACCACTTAGGTAATAGTTATGGAGAACGTTCTATGCAAACACTGCGCCTTCTGCTGGTGTTCCTCTTTATCTCCCTGGTTTTAGAATCCAGTGGGTTTTTTTTTCCTGTTTTTGAATAATTGGTCTATTGAAAGCAAAGTAGATTTTAGTACATTCTCTTCTTGTTACCTGAATTTTAGAGACAGGAATCTTCAAGAAAGGGGTCTTCATTATTAGCAAGTAATTATTCTAAACTGGTCAAAATACTTGTGTATCCTTCAACTGTGCCATAATTTCATTGATAATGGAAAAACATGAGCAGAAAACAGTTACTTTGATGTTCAATATGTCTATTACAATGCCTATTAGCTTTTCTATTCTTCTTTCTTTGTAGGCTTATGATGAAGAAATGTATGGCAGCAAATATCAGTGGATTATTCCAGGGTGGTATGAAAACCTTTGGTGGGAATCCTGGATTAATTCCACACAATGTCTCAGCAAAAATCTTCTTGCAGCCATGGAAGGTTATATTGGAGTGGATTTTGAGCCTCTCAGCTCAAAAATGTTAAAGACCATATCAGGAAGGGTTAGTATTTTTCCTCCAACTATTTTATTATACCGTCGGCTGTCTCACCACTGTCTTGACGCAGGAAGGCATTGAGGAGGGAGATGAAGCTAAAGGGTTCTTCTTCAAAGAAGCTGGTGGTTGTCATGGTTAGTCTCATCTTTCCACTGATTTGCATTTTAAAAATATTTAGAAATCAATTCCAGTTCTCTACAGGGTAAGGAAGCAATAAAGTCCCTTGCCTCAAATCCCTCCTCGCACCCCTATACGAACATTACAGTTAAATATACAGTAAATCTTGAATTAGAGTATGCGGTATCGTGTACTGTGTCGTGTCTAGTTAAATAGTTGAGCACAGAAACCGAAAACTTTGATGTTTAAACAGCAAATTTTACTGGTGATTTATGCCTCTCAGAACTAAGGGGTGGGGACTGGGGCTTGTTTTGAATATGTAAATATGTGGTATTTCCGTAAAGTACATAAAATTTTATCACAGAACAAATTCATGCAAACTCTGGGCAATGAATAAATATGTCTGATTTTGCTGCTTTTCATCTTTTTTCGTCTGATTTCCATGCCTTGCTGAGTGAGCATGAAAGGCAACTTTACAAAAAGGCAACTCGTAATAAGATAGCGTACATAAAGAGCAGAGTAAACTTGTAGAACAGACAAATTGCCACTCAGATAATTTCATATTAAGCAAATAGTTGCTAAAGTAAAGGTTATTTGATTTGCATTATCCTATAAAGTGTAATTAGACCACTAATTTGCAGGGATACAGACTTACTCTCTGTTCTAGTATTCTGGTTCACCAGTAAGCTGGTAGCATGATTGAACTGATGACTTTCGTACAAACACAAAATAAAGCAAGTTGTCTTTCATACAGAGAAGCAGAACAACGACTTTTCAATCTCTCTGTCTCCTAGGTCTGCCTCCCAGTCTCTCCATCAGTCTTGTAATTCAGGCAGCATGTGTTTTGAGAATTTTAATTTCTTAATTTTCATTTTGGCGGCCTTTTCTGTACTGGTCATGAATGTCTCTAAATTGGAGGGTGCAGTCTGAGGTGCAGGTTTGGACAAACTCTGTAAAATGTCAAGTACTGAAGTAGAACTGAAGTTTTTCTCCTCTGCAGACTCCACAGCAATACGAAAAGGAATACAATGCTAAGCGCGGTGACGGGCAATCCAGCAAATTCCATGGTTATGCCTATGATGGAATATGGGTGATTGCCAAGACTCTGCAGCGGGCAATGAAATATCTGAATGCCACCAACAAGCACCAAAAAATTGAAGATTTTAACTACACAAATCACAAACTTGGCAAAATTTTTCTGGATGCTATGAATGAAACCAACTTCTTTGGAGTAACGGTAAGTCCTAAACGGATACTTGTGGTGTGGAGGAGGCTTGTGATTTTATGTCAGTAGCTGAAGCAAGCATTAAATTTTAAATACTCTTGAAAAAGAAACACAGTTGTGTATTTCATATATCTTCAGAGCTTCCACAGTTCTACTTTATCTTAAAAATTAATGTTGTTCCCTTGGGACTCTTACTCATTACCTGTCTTCTGATGCCAAGTGATTACTCTGTACAGTTCCTCAGGTATCTGATTTTTAAGCGTGGATGTCATCTGAATTAACAACATAGAGTAGTCTCAAGGGAACCACAAGTGTTGCAAGCTGCAGTGACCTTTTAAGTGACTGTTTTAGCAGTTGAGGAGTAGCTGGAATGTGATCTGAAAATACCTCCTATTTTCCTTCATTATTTATTTTTGGTAGTAGGTTATAATACACGAGTGTCTCTAACTCCAGTGCTGTACATCCTAGATATTCTTACAACATAGTTCAATTGCCGTTTAAGTTTATTTGTAATTTGTTTTTTTTTCACAGTCAAGCACAAGGCATGGTTGACTACCATTTAAGAAGAACTGATCACATATAGTAATAACCTCATTCTGTTTTCAGTCGCACCATTGCAAATTCATAGTAAATTTTTTTTTTATTGACACTACTTCTAGTTTTTAGCAGAGTAAAATGGGCGATAGGAGTGTGGCCCTAAACCTTCTTAATTACTTAATTTTATTTGAGGCAATGTCAGTCAGAAGTTGATGGTGTTCAGGAGTCTGCAGAGCCGTACTCCTTCACCAAGGGAGAAGAGCAGACTCCATTTCAGGGAGAATGGTCTTCACAGTTTCCAGCAGCAGCAAACAAGGAACCTGCTGGAACACACTTTGTTAAGCAGTGTACTTGGGCTGCAATATGGCTAGACAAGGGAATCAGAGTTTTGAAGCAATCTGTATTTCAGCGGTGCATGGAGGGCATGCTTTTAGGCACCTCCTTGCAGCAAGAGCATGTGGAAGGTCGGCATCATCTCTGCCACTGTGCAGTAGCTTGTCAGATTCTGTCCCCATGTTAATTTAAACTGTCTTGGATATCAATTAACCTCAAAACATGTTGAAGTAGCAGAACTAAGGCTGTCATACACGTCATAAATTGGTTCAAGGAAGAAATGCCTACATATAGACATCAACAACGAGTGCAGTTGTGCAACTTTTTGGTGTCCTTACTAATTGCTGAAGAAGCCTATGTTTTGCATCACAGTGCAACTGAAACTAATTTAGAATTCGTAAGTAAAAAACCAATCATATGGCAAGACAATACTAGAATCTAGTTGCCTGAACGATATTAATTTTGTTTTCTTTTTACACTGAATTTGACTGAAGGTTTCAGTAAAAGAACTGGGTATCCCATTGCATCCATAGCAGGACTGGATCTTTGCTAAAACTTTCAGTCAGTAGCAGCTGTGAACCAAACTCTGCAGGGACTCAGACATTCCTGTCCGGAGTTATCCCAAGTACAGTATCTCTCAATGTGGTTGAAATTGTATCTTGTTATGTAGTTCCTTTTTTTTTTTTTTTTTTTCCTCTTTCCAAGTCTTAGCCTTTTTGCCTGCTGTTTAGTCTTGACAGCCAGTTATGGTAAAATTGCTAGATTTCATTAGCACTGCTTAATTGCCCTTCACTGCTCCCTGCTCGCCCCCCCTCAAAAGAACACAACCCCCAAACCTCTAAGACAAAGAAGGCTCTTTTTAGTACTTTCACAGATGCCAGCAAAACATCACACATGAATTGCATCCCTTTAGGGAGGGAATGAATCAAAGTTTCACCAACCATATTCAGCTGTGTTTACTTATTTTGTTCCCTCAGGTATAATGGTTTTTAAAGAAATTACCGCACAATTATTCACAGCATTTAGTGGTTGTCTGAGGGGCTTTGTAAAATGTTTCTCTAAGATTGGTCTACCAAGTCATCCCGACAATGCATAGCTCAAATCTGGTATTTGCAAGGATCATGCTTCTTATTCCTATAATACATTCACAAAAACATTTTAATCAGAAAGTTATGGAGAGAAGAAAATCTATAGCAGCTACACTTTCTTAGGATATAATTAGAACAAACAATACTCAACTTTTTCCACTGGGAAGGAGAAGAGTTTTATAGCAGATATTAAAAGTTTTGCATTGAAATATTCAGAAAGTTGAAGGAACAGATTGATTATTACCAGACATATTTTTAAACTTTTTATTCTTCAGTCTAATAAATTGTTGTCATTAGTGACTTAATTTACAACTTTCACTGGAATACAAGTTTTAGGTCTTGGAGTGCCAAATCACATTTAAATATTTTTTTTCCAGAAAAAGTTTTTTAGTATAAAGTTTTTACAATTTATTTTTAAAAAAATTACTCTAAACAGGAAAAGGACATTCATTTATGCCAAATATAAAATGAGAGTCTGAAAAATGAGGAAATAAAAGGAAAAACTAAATCTTATCAATATTCAAAAACTCATCCAATGATATACTAAAATGCGTTGTTAATTACTATGTAAAAGGAGATGGTAGACAAGAAGCTGTAGGCAAGAATCTAAAAATGCAAAATCTGTTAAGAAGAGGCATCTTTCTTTATGCTTTCTCTGAATAAGATATCAGAAACACTGTCATGTCATAAATAATAAATGCCTTTACCCCATTTTAATTTTCTTTGCAATTATTTATAGTAACCCACAAAAACCATAATCACTTCTGAGTGGTGTTTTTTGTGGAATTTTTTAAACAGTTTTGAAAAGACTTGCTGGGAGTGTGCTACTTCCTCGTTACACAGAATGTCATTCTTTCAGTTTTCTGTTATTTTTTTCTGATTATTTTTTTTTTCCTAGGAGGCAGCATTTAGAAAACAGATTAGGCTATTGTCCAAAGACTTGACAGGTCTAATCCTCTTTTTGTGCATCAGAAACTCAGTATATAGGTGTTACTTATTCTAATTCTACTGTCAGAAATCTATTGGAAAGAAAATTATAGCTGTTCCTTAAACATTCCTGAAGGTTCTGCTCTTTTTCTGGATTTTTTTTTCTCTTAGCAAAATTGTTCTTTCTGTTACTTTTCCTTCATGCTTATCTGACTTATAGTCACGTTGATTACCATATAATTTTCTTATGCATTTTGAATATAGAGCAAGGAAACATGTATTTGGTGTTTCATCGGAAAACAGTAATATAGTTATCGGCTACACTTTCTCAAAGCTAAAATGGATGCTGTTTTACAGGTATGAAAGGACTTTGTGATGAGAAATGCAATATGAAAAAGCAAAAGACCTGCAGGGATGTTCCTACAGTTTCGATAACCTGAATGTCCTAATTCTGCAGTAGGTCCCCTGATGCTGGTGGTTTTCCAATCGAGTAAGGCATGGTGTTGTTGGAATGGTCCATCTGCAATGACCAGCTTTCAGGGCAGGAGCCCTTTTGATTTGGGACTAGCTTGGCTTTCATGGTTTACATTTTTCTAATTCCTTGCTTATCAGAGCACTTATTTTTTAATGGGAAAGTTATTAAAACAACAACAAAAAAAATCCCTTGATGGATTTTGAACATTTTTTTTTCCACTTTTATTAATCCAGATAAAACCAGTTTTGTAAACTGAATGCAACCCTACCACCCTAAGTGTTAATAAACTGCCAGATGCCTGTTTCCTTGCTACATATCTCCCTTTTTTCAAATAGTACACATTCTTTCTGATAACCTAAGTGTCAGGAAATGAAAGATAAGAAAAGAAATACACAATTTATTTTGACAGATTCTGGTTGTCTGTGGAGTTCCCTTCTGTAGTTGATAAAGCCACTGGAGGTAATTTAGATTTGGAGAATCTGCTGAGGTCTCTGTTGAAGTGTTACTACTTTGAATCAGTACAGAGTGGTAAAGTGATGGGAAAGAAAATATGTATCTGGGCTATCTATAGATCTGCATTTCAGTTATACAGCAGTTTATAGCATGCTACCTATGCCATGCCCATCAGGTATGCATGAAAGCTGAAGAGAATTTTCCACAGAGCTGGAAAAATTCTTGTGAAGAAAGATTGTTTGCCTAAAGGGTAAAATAAATTATATAATTAAAGAAAGGAAGAAAAGTCTAACTTTATTTTGTGTCATAATACTGTAGTGTAACTTGTAGGTTTGATAACTAGTGAAGAATTGGTGCTGTCTTTTCAGGGTACTGAGTCATATTTAGCGCATACTGAATCAAAATCCATCTAGAAAATGGAAGGGTTTTGGGTTAGTCATTTTTTTTCTTATTTCTCTTTGTAAAGGCTATGGATGGTTACATAGTACCTTACAACTACAGCAGTTTGTATTTGTTAGCAAAAAATATTGGTTATACTCGGAAAGATATGAAATACCATATTTGTTCTCAGTAAGGTAAAAGTTTGTATTGGTTCCATGGCATAGCCAGTGGGTGGGAAAAATACAATGTGTCTCGGAGACAACTTTTAATTTATTTTTTATGCAAAATACATGGCATAGCCAGTGGGTGGGAAAAATACAACGTGTCTCGGAGAAAACTTTTAATTTATTTTTTATGCAAAATGTGACATTATTTTTAAAATACTTGCCTGTGATTTTCTAATGACTTCACCTTTGTCACTGATGTAACGTTATGTGTGTTACCATTCTCCCTGGTTTATGCCTGAAGTCCTGTAACTGTTGCAGTAGGGCATTCTGCTGCTTGAGTTTATTGCTATTATCTGTGATTATGAATTAGGCTGCAGAATTGTTAATTCTTTTCTTATCCTTGTGGCCTTCTGTTATAAGTGTAATGGAAAAAGACTTACAGTGGAGGAGAGAGAAAATTAAATACAGTGTTGTCTGTCTTCTCGTGTCAGCCAGAGACTCTAGCACAGTAGGATAAAATTCCGCTGCAGGAGCTGCTGCACAGTTGAAACCACAGCCATGAAATAGCTTTCAAGTCTGTCCCTGGCATCCTGTGTTTGAATAGATCCAGTCATGTTCCATAACTGGAAAAATGCTTATTGATACGAAGTT